TCCTACTCCTACTACTACTACTGCTACTACTACTTCTTCTACTACTACTAATACAACTACTACTACTACTACTACTACTACTACTACTACTACGGCTACCACTACTACCACTACGACTACGACTACGACTACTACTACAACTACCAATACTACTACTACTACTACTACTACTACTACTACTACTACTACCACTACTACTACTACTACTACTGCTGCTGCTGCTGCTGCTACTACTACTACTACTACTACCAGTACTACTACTACTACTACTACTACTAAACCTACGACTACTACTACTACGACTACTATTACGACTACTGCTACCAGTACTACTCCCACATGTGCTTCGACGACTACTACTAATTGCTACGACTGCTCCTACTACGACTAGTAGCACAACGGCTAGTACGACTACGACTGCGACTACGGCTACAACTACGACTACATCTACGACTACGCTTGCGACTACTCATACTACGAATACGGTAACGACAACAACAACTACTACAACTACTACTACTACTACGTCCACTAATCTACTACTACTACTACTACTACTACTACTTCTCGTACTCTTACTCTTACTCTTACCCTCACTACTACTACTACTACTACTACTACTACTACTACGTTTACGTTTACGTTTACGTTTACGTTTACGACTACTACTACTACTACTACTACTACTACTACTACTACTACTACGACTACTACGACTACTACGACTACGACTACGACTACTACTACTACTGCTAGTACTACTACTACTACTACTGCTACTACTACTACAACTACTCCAACTACTACTATTACGGCTACGACTACGACTACGACTACGGCTACGGCTACGACTACTACTACTACTACTACTACCACTAGTACTAGTACCAGTACTAGTACTAGTATTAGTACTCGTGCTAGAGCTGCTGCTACTACTACTACTACTACTACTACTACTACTATACTACTACTACTACTACGACTACTACGACTACGACTACTACTACTACCACCACTACCACTACCACTACCACTACTACTACTACTACTACTACTACTACTACTACACTACTACTACGACGACGACGACTACTACTACGACTACGACTACGACTACTACTACTACTACTACTACTACTACTACTACTACTACTACTACTTACTACTACTACTACTACTACTACTACTACTACTACTACTACTACTACTACTACTACTACTACTACTACGGTTGCTACGACTACTACTACTACTACTACTACTACTACTACTACTGCGTCTATCATTACTTTGTTGTACAACTTCTTATACTACTGCATGTATTTCTTATGCTGCCAGTGCTGCTGGTAGAACGAATCGTAATCCATTTCGGGTCATCCGACAGGGCCGGGGCCGTACTGCTTCCCTCAAACGAGATTGCAAGCGTGCCTGCGTGAGAGCGCAAGAGCGCCGACCCGGCTTGAACCAACGTGTTTGCAACTCTGGGAAAGACGCAAACTGTCGCCCGCGCGTCTCCCAAACCCTATATGCAGCCTTCTGGCGTCAAGGCAGCGCCACGCCTGCCGCACCTAGTGAAACGGAAAACTGGGTAACGGGGAAAAGGTCGGGAGTTCCCACCTGCGCCCACCTAGCGCCCCACTGCGGTGTCGAGGAGGTGCCACGCCTGCCACGCGTTGCGAGCCCGACACGGATAGGGGGCCCACCCCCAGCGCACACCCATGTGGTGTCAAGGAAGTGCCACGCCTGCCGCGCTTTGCAGACCGAAACGGATATGGGGGACAGCCCCATTGCACCCCCCTATGGTGTCGAGGAGGTGCCACGCCTGCCACGCTTTGCGAACCCGAAACGGATCGGGGGACCACCCCCAGCACACACCCATGTGGTGTGAAAGAAGTGCCACGCCTGCTACGCGTTGCGAGCCCGAAACGGATAGAGGGGACCACCCCCAACGCACCAACCGTGGGGTCGAAGAGGTGCCACGCCTGCCACACTTTGCGAGCCCGAAGCAGATGGGGGACCCCCCCCAGCACACCCCCTGTGGTGTCGAGGAAGTGCCGCGCCTGCCACGCGTTGCGTTCCCGAAACGGATATGGGGGACCACCCCCAGTGCACACCCTGTGGTGTCGAGGGAGAGCCACGACTGTCACGCATTTCGAACCCGAAACGGATAGGTGAACCCCCTCCCACGCCCCGCCCTCACCCACTGCTGTGTCGAGGGGGTGCCACGCAAGTGCCACGCCTGCCACGCGTTGCGAGCCCGAAACGGATATGGGGGACCACCCCCAGTGCACACCCTGTGGTGTCGAGGGAGAGCCACGACTGTCACGCATTTCGAACCCGAAACGGATAGGTGAACCCCCTCCCACGCCCCGCCCTCACCCACTGCTGTGTCGAGGGGGTGCCACGCAAGTGCCACGCCTGCCACGCGTTGCGAGCCCGAAACGGGTATGGGGGACCACCCCCAGTGCACACCCTGTGGTGTCGAGGGAGAGCCACGACTGTCACGCATTTCGAACCCGAAACGGATAGGTGAACCCCCTCCCACGCCCCGCCCTCACCCACTGCTGTGTCGAGGGGGTGCCACGCAAGTGCCACGCCTGCCACGCGTTGCGACCCGAACGGATATGGGGGACCACCCCCAGTGCACACCCTGTGGTGTCGAGGGATAGCCACGACTGTCACGCATTTCGAACCCGAAACGGTAGGTGAACCCCCTCCACGCCCCGCCCTCACCCACTGCTGTGTCGAGGGGGTGCCACGCAAGTGCCACGCCTGCCACGCGTTGCGAGCCCGAAACGGATATGGGGGACCACCCCCAGTGCACACCCTGTGGTGTCGAGGGAGAGCCACGACTGTCACGCATTTCGAACCCGAAACGGATAGGTGAACCCCCTGCCCTCACCCACTGCTGTGTCGAGGGGGTGCCACGCAAGTGCCACGCCTGCCACGCGTTGCCGAACTGTCATTTCGACTGTCACGCATTTCGAAACGGATAGGTGAACCCCCTCCCACGCCCCTGTGCCACGCCTGCCACGCGTTGCGAGCCGAAACGGGATGTGTCCGAGGGAGAGACTGTCACGCATTTCGAACCCGAAACGGATAGGTGAACCCCCTCCCACGCCCCGCCCTCACCCACTGCTGTGTCGAGGGGGTGCCACGCAAGTGCCACGCCTGCCACGCGTTGCGAGCCCGAAACGGAATGGGGGACCACCCCCAGTGCACACCCTGTGGTGTCGAGGGAGAGCCACGACTGTCACGCATTTCGAACCCGAAACGGATAGGTGAACCCCCTCCCACGCCCCGCCCTCACCCACTGCTGTGTCGAGGGGGTGCCACGCAAGTGCCACGCCTGCCACGCGTTGCGAGCCCGAAACGGATATGGGGGACCACCCCCAGTGCACACCCTGTGGTGTCGAGGGAGAGCCACGACTGTCACGCATTTCGAACCCGAAACGGATAGGTGAACCCCCTCCCACGCCCCGCCCTCACCCACTGCTGTGTCGAGGGGGTGCCACGCAAGTGCCACGCCTGCCACGCGTTGCGAGCCCGAAACGGATATGGGGGACCACCCCCAGTGCACACCCTGTGGTGTCGAGGGAGAGCCACGACTGTCACGCATTTCGAACCCGAAACGGATAGGTGAACCCCCTCCCACGCCCCGCCCTCACCCACTGCTGTGTCGAGGGGGTGCCACGCAAGTGCCACGCCTGCCACGCGTTGCGAGCCCGAAACGGATATGGGGGACCACCCCCAGTGCACACCCTGTGGTGTCGAGGAAGTGCCACGCTTTGCGAGCCCGGAGCAGATAGGAGGACCACCCCCTGCATACACCCCTGCGGTGTCGAGGAAGTGCCACGCCTACCACACTGTGCAAGCCCGAAACAGATAGGGGGACCACCGCCTTCGCACCCCCCTGTGGTGTCGAGGAGGTGCCACGCCTGCCACGCTCTGCGAGCCCGAAACGTCTAGGGGGACTAGGCCCATCGCACCCCCCTGTGGTGTCGAGGAAGTACCACGCCTGCCACACGTTGCGAGCATGAAACGGATAGGAGGACCACCCCCTGCGCACACCCATGTGGTGTCGAGGAAGTGCCACGACTGCTGCGCCTGCAAAAGCCCGAGGCCGGTAATTAGGGGGACCACCCCGATTGCACACCCATGCGGTGTTGAAGAAGAATCATGCCTGCCAGGCGCTGCGAGCCCGAAACGGGTATGGGGGACCACCCCCTCGGAACCCTCCGTGGTATCGAGGAGGTGTCACGCCTGCCATGCTTTGCGAGCCCGTGTGTGAGTAACATGTGGGTCAAACTGTATGTGCACGTGTGTCTCATGGGGGTGCCCAATATGTGGTGCATGCGTATTCGGTGTATGATGGACTGAACACGCCGGGTCTGCACTAGCGCTATACGGTGTGAGTGGGGGGGGTGGGATCGCCAAAATACTAATAATGTATATGAGCGGCTTCATGGTGACGCGTGTCTCATGCAAGTGCCGTGTATGTGTATTATCTGCATGATGTGCGTTGTGTGTCTGATGCGCGTGTGGATGCAAATAATAAAGAGGGGGAGGAGAGGAAGGAGACGCGGGTGAGACACGGATGTGAAGAAAACAATAATCCCACTAAGCATGTGGGGAATTGAGTGCGGACGGAGCTGATTTAAGGAGTCTTGAATGAATTACAAGTTGGGCAATTCAAGCGAGTGAGGTTAGAGTGGAAGTATACTGGGAAAGTAATTGAGTGGGCGAGAGCGTAGTGGCGGGGATCACAGTGGAAGGAACGAGGAGGCAGCGAGACAACGGACATAATGCAGCAACGGGTCTGATATTGACAGAAGTCCCAAAACGGTGTTGCAAACTCGGAGAAACATGAAGATCGACTTCAGGGCCGGCCATCTGAGCTAATCTAGGTGGCACGCACAGGCATAGATGCGCACGAGCTTGGAACAACCCTTGACTATGGAAAAATGATTCTTGCCCCCCAGGTGCAATCTCCCGATCTCCTGAGACCACCCTGCAACGTGAGTCGGGTAGCCCGCTTCACAGTCAAATCGTTTGTCCGCCGGGGTGACATGGCAGCCAATGTTGTGGTCCTCGCAGCACTGCAAGCGCTTCTCGGACGACCAGTGCTCTGGCTCCCCGACGTCGCAGTTGAAGTCGGCGCGAGCGCTGCTTGGGGCGGGGGCATCGCAGCCAATGCTGTGATCCTCGCAACACTGCAAGCGCTTCTCCCAGGACCAGTGCTCCGGCTTCCCGACGTCGCAATTGAAGTCGGCGCGAGCGCTGCTTGGGGCGGGGGCATCGCAGCCAATGCTGTGGTCCTCGCAACACTGCAAGCGCTTCTCCCAGGACCAGTGCTCCGGCTTCTCCGACGTCGCAGCCAGTGCTCCGGCTTCCCGACGTCGCAATTGAAGTCGGCGCGAGCGCTGCTTGGGGCGGGGGCATCGCAGCCAATGCTGTGGTCCTCGCAACACTGCAAGCGCTTCTCCCAGGACCAGTGCTCCGGCTTCCCGACGTCGCAGTTGAACTCGGCGGGAGCGCTGCTTGGGGCGGCGACATCGCAGCCAATGCTGTGGTCCTCGCAGCACTGCAGGCGCTTCTCGAGCGACCAGTGCTCCGGCTTCCCGACGTCGCAGTTGAACTCGGCGGGAGCGCTGCTTGGGGCGGCGACATCGCAGCCAATGCTGTGATCCTCGCAACACTGCAGGCGCTTCTCGAACGACCAGTGCTCCGGCTTCCCGACGTCGCAATTGAAGTCGGCGCGAGCGCTGCTTGGGGCGGGGGCATCGCAGCCAATGCTGTGGTCCTCGCAACACTGCAAGCGCTTCTCCCAGGACCAGTGCTCCGGCTTCCCGACGTCGCAGTTGAACTCGGCGGGAGCGCTGCTTGGGGCGGCGACATCGCAGCCAATGCTGTGGTCCTCGCAGCACTGCAGGCGCTTCTCGAGCGACCAGTGCTCCGGCTTCCCGACGTCGCAGTTGAACTCGGCGGGAGCGCTGCTTGGGGCGGCGACATCGCAGCCAATGCTGTGGTCCTCGCAGCACTGCAGGCGCTTCTCGAGCGACCAGTGCTCCGGCTTCCCGACGTCGCAGTTGAACTCGGCGGGAGCGCTGCTTGGGGCGGCGACATCGCAGCCAATGCTGTGGTCCTCGCAGCACTGCAAGCGCTTCTCGAGCGACCAGTGCTCCGGCTTCCCGACGTCGCAATTGAAAGCCGCCTCCTGACGTGCTGGCGCGCTGGGAGCTATCTTGCCTCCGGGGCATCCCCTGTTCCGCCTCTCGCAACACTGCGCGCGCTTGTCTTCCGACCATCCTCTCACGTCTTCGGGCCACCCCTTATCACAATCGAACTGAGGCGCATTCGCCGTAGGGTGGTCGTCGCCTTCGGGCGCGCCGGGGGCACTCCTGCCTCCGGGGCATCCCCTGTTCCGCCTCTCGCAGCACTGCGCCCGCTTGTCTTCCGACCATCCTCCCACGTCTTCGGGCCACCCTTTATCACAATCGAACTGGGGCTCATTCGCCGTGGGGAGGTCCTCAGGCCTCTGCTGCGTCTGGCCGTCGCCTTCGGGCGCGCCGGGAACATTCCTGCCTCCGGGGCATCCCCTGTTCCGCCTTTCGCAACACTGCGCCCTCTTGTCTTCCGACCAACCTCCCACGTGTTCGGGCCACCCTTTATCACAATCGAACTGGGGCTCATTCGCCGTGGGGAGGTCCTCGGGCGCCTGCTGCGTCTGGCCGTCGCCTTCGGGCGCGCCGGGGGCACTCCTGCCTCCGGGGCATCCCCTGTTCCGCCTCTCGCAGCACTGCGCCCGCTTGTCTTCCGACCATCCTCCCACGTCTTCGGGCCACCCTTTATCACAATCGAACTGAGGCGCATTCGCCGTGGGGAGGTCCTCAGGCCCCTGCTGCGTCTGGCCGTCGCCTTCGGGCGCGCCGGGAACATTCCTGCCTCCGGGGCATCCCCTGTTCCGCCTCTCGCAGCACTGCGCCCGCTTGTCTTCCGACCAACCTCCCACGTGTTCGGGCCACCCTTTATCACAATCGAACTCGGGCGCGTTCGCCGTGGGGAGGTCCTCGGGCCCCTGCTGCGTCTGGCCGTCGCCTTCGGGCGCGCCGGGAGCACTCCTGCCTCCGGGCCCTGGTTGTGTCTGGGGCTCGTCCCCGTCGCAGCCCACATGCTCGCTCTCGCAGCAGTGCTTGCGCTTCGAGTGCGACCAATTGTCCTGGGAGGAGGGGCTGTCCATTTACTCCCTTTCATCGTAAGCCCACCGACTCGTATGCACGCTCATGCACGCTCGTTTCGGTCGAATCGGGCCCCGACTAGGGGAGGGGCATGGTGGCGCGCGGAATACGTTGAGGACATCTGACAGAATCGTGCTGCCGCTCGCGCCACGAAAACACTTGCCTACATCGAAGAGATCAGCGCCGCCCAACTGGGGAGGCTCTCTGACTCCTCGATGTGCCTCTCCCAAGGCCTCTGAGGCCTTCCAACCTTTCGCAGCGGACTCCCCAAGGACCCCAAGGTCGCAGTCCCCCCTCCCCTTGGAGAGCCTCTGCCAGAGGGGGGACACTCAACCTCGGCAAGTTCCCAGAAGTCCTTCCCTTCCGTTGTCTCCCCCCTGACCCGCCCCACAGCTCCACTGATTGATGGGACTGTTTTCCTCCACCACCACCACCATAAGTCGGAGGGGGGAAGGAGGTGGAGGACGAGGAGGTGGAGCACGAGCAGGACGAGGACGAAGAGGAGGAGGGGGAGGACGAAGAAGAGGAGGAGGAGGACGAGGAGGAGGAGGAGGAGGAGGAGGAGGAGGAGGAGGAGGACGAGGAGGAGGAGGAGGACGAGGAGGAGGAGGAGGAGGAGGAGGAGGAACCCCTCCCCCTCCAACGTTTGGTGGTGGTGGTGGAAAACATGCCCATCAGCTGATGGCCTGGTGATGTCCCACTTGCACGGGGGCCCCTCTCTGGCGACGCTCCGAGTGATCCAGCGAGGGCCGCACTCGCCGGACGACCGTCCGCTCGCTGGACCGCTCCGAGCCCCCACCACGAGGCACCGATACCGCCGCTGCTCCCCCGGACCTCTCCCCGGCTGCGTTCTGGCCAGAACTTCGAGGCGACCCCGGCCGTGGCGACGAGGGCCTCCCAGGAGGCCCCCCCCGGAGGCAGAAACGGGGCACGCGCGGGCAGCCGAAGCCGGTGCCGTTTCCCTCTTGCGTTGTGTGCCTCCTCCTCCTCCGCCTCCGCCTCCTCCTCCTCCTCTTCCTGCCTTTCCTCCTCCTGCTCCTGCTCCTGCTCCTGCTCCTTCTCCTGCTCCTTCTCCTGCTCCTCCTCCTCCTCCCTCCTGCGTTCCCAGAGATCCTATGTCGTGAATGTTTCAAGACGGGGTCCCCGGAAGTCTCGACAAATTCCCCAGGACCGGCTTTTCATCCTGAGTCGTTTTCTGACGCTCCCCGAGGCCCGGCGAGGGCCCCTAAACGAAGGGGCCGGAAACCAGCGAAAAACCCCGGTCTAGACTTTTTCAATGCGCTGGATCTCTGCGTCGTGTGCCGCCCGCGTCCACGTACGCCAAGCCCTTCTGGCAGTTGTACGGCGGCGGGCCCGGGCCGGAGCCGGCGTCCGGCGCCTCGTCGGGGGCCTGCGGGCCGGGGAGCGCGCGAGGCGGCAGGGCGCCCGGCGGCACGCCGTCGGGCGCGCGCGCGCGGGGGCCGCGGCGGGCCCGCTGGGGCTCGGAGTGGAGACATACTACAGTCGGGGCGTTGACCTAAGGAACCCTAAATAAGGAACGAGGCCCCTTGTTTCCATAAGTTAAACTTCGATGTGCGATCGAAAACATCAGGAAAACCTGAGGCAGGCTGTGAAACACTAAGGAACGCGGAGCCCCTCCCCAACGAAAAGGGTTCCTTCTTCAGGGCCCCGACTGTACAGTCGGACTTGATCGGAGAGGACACGCGAGAGGACAGAAGACCCTTCCGAAGGCCACATCGCCACAGGAGTGTAAGGAGACACGTGTCGCGAGGCACAGGACACGAGGGTACCCTTGAGCTGGCAGGGTCGACCTACTAATCCAGGCCGACTGTACTGCAGTCGGGGCGTTGACCTAAGGAATACCCTAAATGAGGAACGAGGCCCCTTTTTCCCGAAGTCGAACCTGGATCCCCCATGGAGAACCTCACGAAAATTGGAGGCAACCTGCGGAACAATCAAGGAACACCGAGCCCCTCCGAAACGAAAAGGGTTATTTCTTTCGTGGCCCGACTGCAGTAACATATGTCCTTCTCGGAGGCGCGCGTCCGACCCGAGCGGCGTGGCCCGAGCGGTGGTGGCCAGGAAGCGCCCGCCACGACGCATGTGCTAAAGATTTGTCGGTGCGCGCGTCACCCCTGGGGGGCGAAGCACCCACAATGTCAGTCGGAGAGGCTGTGGGGTTGGAACGGAAGCAACCCCAACCGGGAAATCGGTTTCGGTTTCGTCTCGTGTCGCGCGTGCAGGCGAGGCGAAGCTGCGCGAGCTACATCTTTATGGAGGTCATAGATTGCCAAAACGGCCGCCCCTCGAGCGCCAGGCGTGGCCCCCGGTTGTCCCAGCGGTTGTCCCTGCGGTTGTCCCGGCGGTTGTGCCGCTGGTTGTGGTTGTCCCGATGGTTGTCCCGATGGTTGTCCCGATGGTTGCCCCGATGGTTGTCTCGATGGTTGTCCAGATGGTTGTCCCGATGGCTGTCCCGATGGTTGTCCCGATGGTTGTCCCGATGGTTGATAGACATCTATACATATATATATAAAGTGTGGTATTTTGTCCAGATGGTTGTCCCGATGGTTGTCTCGATGGTAGATCGATCTATCCATATATATATACATATACATCGATATATGCACGCATACATCGATCGGCATCTACATACATGCACACATATACATACACATACATATATATAGAGGTTTACACATTATATGTATGTGTGAACATATAAACTATGGATTGATTTATTGATTGCTTGACTTACCGACTGT